TTTAGAGCAACTAGTTAGTAGGCCAAGAGTTTTATGGTGTGTAATATTTCATAGGGCTTTCAAGGTTGGAGGAAATTTGTTTTTGAACACCGAATATTTTAAGGACACCCTATAGAGCAGAGTGCTTTTTTTTTTCTTTCTTTTTTTAAACACGTGTTTCACAGTCCCATCCGGAGCTGGAGATTTTTTCCATAACATTCGCTGTCCCAGGGCCACTCACGGTGGAAAATGACTTTTTTCATGGAACATTGAGTATTTTAGAGCTGCTCCAGTGCTAGTGGAAAATAACCTATGTTTGAGGTCAGAAAAAGAGATTAAACTAATTTCAAAGTTTTATAGCCACCTAGGTCTATACTAGAAGTTTTTAGCATCAGAGGATTTAGATCCATTGCAAGAGTAAGATTCTCATTTTTATGGTTTTTCTAAGACTAAAAAGGCCCAAGTTCAGGAATGCGTCTTCGTTCATGAAGGACAATTACAGACATCCTTAATTTTAACAGTATGTTTAATTGCATTCCCTAATAGGGATGGTTTTAATCCTATGCTTAAGTCCTTTTCTGACTTGGAGCCACAGGATATGACTGTCTGATTCTGCTACTAGCTGATGTCAGTGATGGATCTCCCATTTGAATCACTGGCATCTAAATTGTGCTTGGGGATTCTGAACCTTTGACAGGTTGGGTGAGCCGATATCTTTGGGCTCATTCTCAGCTGCATCTGGGTGGAGGTGGAGTATGAAGGAGACCAAGGCGGCTGCAGGCCATCTCTTATCTCTTCCCCTTTTTGTACTGACTGGGGATCAAACCAGGAATTCTTCAGCTTTAAAGTAGTGTTTGCTTGGATGTAGATAGGGAATTACTTCCTTCCAGGATCGCAGACTGGGAGACTTACTTTCTTCCTGAAGAGAACATCTAGGAAATGATTCTCAGAATGATTTGGTGTCTTCTGACAGATACAGAAAGGCAACCATTTTGCAGAAGGAAGTTGTGTAGATGTGTTAAATTTGAGCAATAAGGTGAAAGGAAAGACACATTTTAAAACTATCCAGGAAAGAACAAACGACAACAGTAGAAACTTCTTTGAGTCAGAACAGAGGGCAGAAAATTGTAGCAGTGAGGAGGAAATATTTTTAAAATTCATTGTAATTAGCTTTTAAACACCTGTCAATAGTCTTCTGTTACAATTCTGTAATGGAAAAGGCTCTGCAAAACAGTGTGAATATTATTTTTGTGCATGTAAAGTCCCTACGTAAATCAACCTTTATGTAAAGAAGAGTCAAGCATCTGCAGTAAAATTCAACCTTATGCACAAGACAAAGTCCTCCATGAAATCCTACAAATAACGTCCCAAAGCTTAACTATAATTTCAGCTCCATTCAGTTTGTCATCTCTAAGGAAAAAAAAAAAAAAAAAGAAAAAAAAAAGCATTGAAAAATCTGCATGATAGAAGCTTTTTTACCTGAAATGTATAAATGGTGACTGCACACTGGAATTGTGCTATGTGCTGTGTTATAAGAAGGAGTTTTATGCAAAGTGCTGTTAAGCACAGAGGCTATTAAAAAGGTAAATGCACATCTAAAAATAGGGTTTTTTAGTATCCTCCAACAGTAAGAGTACCTCCTGATAGGAATTCCAGAAATGACAGTATGCACAAGAACTCAGTGTCTCTCATGAGAGTTACAGCAGAAAAAGATTTTCACTGGCAATATAAACACACAGATAAACTGAAGCTGTCCAGAAGAGCTCGAAATGTACACGCTGCTTTGTAGAAGAATGCAAAGGAACTGGACTATAAGGGATGTCTTTTTCTCCTGCTTTATTTCTTTAATCCATTTATAGGGTGTCTGTCAGCAGATGGGATCTCAGCTGTCTCTGAACTCTTCTCTGAAAGGTATCTTCCTTTTTCCTTAGCTCAGGGATCAAGCTGACAAGCTGAGGATTTACCTTAATACTCTTAATTGCAATCTAACCAAAAACCCATGGAAAAGGACACAGAAAAGGAGCTTGACTGCAAATGCCAGTTGTCCTTAAGCAGATGGTCCAGTATCTCCCAGAGAGCTCACTCTCTGGTAGCGAATTGGTTTCTACATAATGCAAAGGTCAGGGAAAGAAAAGGAAATGCAAAACCTTGAAGGGTCCTCAGAATGATTCTGAAGAGGCCACCTCAAAGGGACTCAGCATACAGTTCACATAAAAATTATTAATTCTTAGGTAAAAATCTCACTTCTCAGTAGTTTTGGGTAAAATACAATGTAGTAGTGTCGTGATTATCCCCACTACCATATTCAGCTCAAACAGCTCATGTTTATGGATGCACCCTGAAGGTATCTAGATAACATTAACTCTGTTTTAAAATGACTGTGCGATAACCATGTATAATGCATGACAGTGTTGTTTTTTCCATGATGTATTTAACTGATAATTTTTCATGGACTATTTTTCCCCCTGCTTTATCTGTAAGTGACAGCACCCCTGAGATTGCTTGGATGGATTTGTTGTGCACTTCAGTTGGTCTGGTGGCTGGACTCCCATGCAGGGCTCTGTCTACACTTCTGCTCCTTAGAACTAGAATTCATGTTTGTTCACATAATTCACTTGAGAAATGGTCTGATTTGCTTGTGTGTGTGGTAGTACTTGCTTGTTTCCCCTGAAGACAAACGTATACAGCTCTTTGGAGAAAGAGGAATCATTTGCTATAACTTAAATTTAGTACAAGGTGTGTGACAGATACCCAATTTTGAACTTAAAACGAGAGGCAAAGCTATTCCGCAGATTTCTTCTGCAAACTGAATTCCAGTCCACATTTTAAAAGACATACATGCCTTTCAATGAGACACGGGTAGAAGAGTAGAGACATGGCCATTTTTCTGGGATAAACTCTAGCATACAAACCAAGATTGGAACAAAGAAATATCACTTAAGTTAAATCCCAGAAATATGAGGTACATTTCTGCATGCTGTGGTGAGAGCAGAAGGAGAACTTCAGCAATATTGGGCTGAAGTTTGATAGAGGCTCAGGTTAAAAGCTTAAATTTGAACCTTTCCAAACATTTTTGTGTTTTGTGGCATTTAACTTTAAATCTTTTGACTTCAGTCCCACCTCAACCTTGCTGCTTCTAGCTTATTTTTGGCTCTGATTGGTCTGCAGAATTTTGGTGCCAGTTAAGATAGTCTGGCTGCAAAACTCTAGGCCTTAGATTAAAACAGCTCAGCATCCTCACAACACCTCCTCAGCCCATCTGTACAGTAAGTATATATGCCTGAATGACCATGGAAAGTACACTGTAAAGGAAAAATGTCTGAGAATGATACACTTTGGCCATAAAACTGGAGTAAATGGAAAAAAGACCCTTAAAACAAGACCTCATCCTAATTCCAAAAGGATTTTTTGAAGTGGCATAAAGCTGCTTCTGGAAACTTGAAAAACAGACTGGTTTTTTGGACCCTTGTACGCTCTGCAGATCTGTACTTTGTTTTATGCAGTTTTGTTCAGTAAAACACAATCTCATTGAGTTTAAAAGCCCTGAGCAGTTGCTAAATCATCTAGAATAAATCTGTAATTATGCAGAAGAGTATTTCTCTCCACTGTCTTTCTAGACAAAATGTGGGGGGGGAGCTTTTTCCTTCACTGAAATAGCAGGTTCCAAAAAATATGTCTGGTTCCTATTACAGTAAAGGAAAAACTCGAGGTGTGCATTGGAAGTGCTAAGCCAGTGATTGAAATGTTAAAGTTGTTCCTAAAGGCTATTCCACATCATGAAGACATCATCTGTAAAGTAATACTGCACAATGATCTGTGAAGAGAGGAGACTGAATTAGCATTCAATATGGCTGAAACTTCCAAGTGTCCCACGTTCAGGTCAGCTTCTATAGCAGAACCCATTTTGGTATTCTTCAGTAAGCACTGATCAATATATCTCGAGAAAACAGAGTTTAGGTGAAAGACAGTTTAACTGTTCTGACTTGTCTTGTGCCCTGCGCCTTTGTGCACCTCTGCAGCTTCTCACTGTGCCGTGTATGTCGGACTTACGCAGTGATTTATCTAGGATTTTGGAGCTTTGAAAGAACACTTCTGCTACGCCAGCTCAACCAGAGCACAAGCAACGAGTGTCTGATTTGCCAACTTGCAAAATATCCTTTTAAAGGCAAATGTTTGAGGAAAATTAAACAACAGAGGTGGTACTGTGCCAGTGGAAAAACCATCTAATTAAAAATAAATGCCCAAAGTCATTCATTGATTAAAATTTAGAATGACAAGTTGTCTGCAAATGCTGAGTTTCTCAGAGTTCAAGCTTTACAGTAGGAATTATGGTAGACCTTTGACTTTCTACAACATGGTAAATGAAATTGCTTAATGATAATGAGAGCCTCTCGTTTAGTTGTTAGTAGCTCTTTCTTTTTCCTTCACACTGCATTGTTACAAGTTGTACATGTGCCATCTGCTACTTGGAGAAGTTTTCAGAAGCTTTTTTGGCAGAAATTAGCCACATGTGTTTTCTAATCTGCATGATAAATATACCCTTTTTCTCTTCAAGACAAATATTTGCCTCCATTTCTTTCTTTTTTTCTTTAATTAGAAATTGAATATTCTTTTCTTCCTTCATATGTTCTGGGATGCAGATTGAATGAAAAGATGCTGTGCAGAATTTTACATTAATTGAATCTGATTGGGGTTAAAGGTGTCTCATCGCTCAGTATCAAGATGCTTAAGCACATTGCGTTTGTAGGGCTGGTAGCAGTTTTTAAAGCTGTTCTGTGAGCCTGCCTTACAGTGCTTAACCTTCAATCTCAGTGGGATGCCGAGTTATTAACAGGGCTCACAACTGAGAATTTTTGTTGTGAGTGGTGAAAGTACTTGTTTTGCTGCACTGTTGTTTTGGTTTACGCTATCTGTGAAATAACAAAGGAATTTAAGATTTTTGGATTTATGATAGCATTTAGCTTTATAGAACCTATGGTTTATCTCTCACAATAAATGTTTTAATTATTTGCATTTTAAAGGTGTTCCCCAACCAAACGTAACATGGTTTAAGAAGAGAGACATCCTACAAATCAATTCTTTCTTGGTTTTGAATGGCTCGCTATTTCTGAGGAATGTTTCCTACGAGGATGCAGGAACATACACTTGCAGAGCAGCTAACGCTCTCGGAAAAGCTGAAGCTGCGACTGTTCTCTACCTGATTGGTAAGTACTAAATGAGAATTCCTTACTGATAACAACTGTGACCCACTTTGATTATGAAGTTTAATCCATAAAATAGTTGGTGGGATATTTAAGACTTTATTATGAACTTGGAATTTTTGATTGCATCTGACTCCCTGGGATCTGTTCTCTGCTTTTTTTTTCCTGTAATAGCAGATCTACATACAGATGATTTGACTTGTGACTTCTTCAAAAGTTGCTCAATCTTCTTGCTTCCAGGCAACAAATATCAGCCCTTAAACCAGCAGACACATTAGAAAACTAAATCCACTGTCATATTATATTGTTCCCAGTGCTTTTATCTAGGGAAACAGAGCAGGCTTGAGTTATTCAGAAAATCTACAGGGAAATGCAGTGAAATGAAAGCAAAGGCCGGTTTTGGTTTGGGTTTGGTTTGGGTTTGGGTTTTTGTTTGTTTTTTTTTTTTAATTGTAGAGACACAAAACATAGGGACATGAAAACCAAAAAATTCTGAATATGAACTGCTAACTCTCAGAATAGAAAATGTAAAGGAAATACTCCATTTAAATGACTCTATTGTAAGTACATTAATAGTGTAATACAATATAATACAATCCTGCCTTGCAAATAGCTCCAATAAATGAATCATTCAGCTCTAGAGATTAACTTTCTCACTGTTTTGCTGTATGAAGTACAACACAGTTATACATGGCCAATCCTGCTACAGAGCTTGCTTTCTTAGGCACGTGTGTAGGGCAGGTTGTAGAAGGTTAGGTCTGTTGGCCCGGGAAGACGCATGAAAGGCATAATAGGAGTCTCTGTTTGAGGATGAGCGTAGACTGAAGCTCCCTTCTTGGTTTCAGTTTTCCTGGACTACATCAAAACTTCAGATGTTCCAGAGAGAAATATTATTATAATGACGTGACTGGGAAGATTGCTTACAAGAATCTGAACTTCATTTCTATTCCTGGTCACATGACATTAGTTTAAATAAATCTTGAGTGGGTAGGAGCGGGCCAAATTCTGCGATGTTTTTTAGCTGTGCAAAACTGCAGTGAAATGGGAGGGTGTCTGATGCCCGGACTTGCAGATTGCACTGACTCAGTGTTGTCTAAAGCAACATCTTGTCAGCCTTTTGGACTTTGCTACGGCAAGTACTGCCTGCCTGAGGCAGTCAAGTAGTAGAGCAAAATCTGTGCAGCCTTTCTAATAAAAGTTCTGAAGGAGTGACAAGGCAACTAGCCTTTTGCTTGTCAGTGCCAGTATGGGACTGGCCTCACTTTTTCGTTCCAGTGTTTACACAGACAAGCAGGAGGCTTTATACAGACATTGCACACTGAGGAAAAATGTTGAACCAATGTAAAGTGACCCAGGGAAGTTAAAATATAACAAAAGATTTAAACTGTCTGGAAGGAGGATCATAGATATTACGCACATTGATTAAAACAGAAATGTTGACTAAGTGGCAAGAACTGGGTGTTACTGACGGATTGCCTACATTTTTGGCAGTTATTCTGTCTGGCATATGATAAAAAGGAGGAGTTGCTATAGTGATAAGCATATGATTCTGCATACATTGTGCTATCTCTATACATAACGAGATTTTAAAATATTTTCTTCTTTTTTCTGTTGTAGAAGTTTGTCATAATTTCATCTAATGGAACAGAGGAATTGCCCTGATTCCATTGAGAGAATTATTTTTCTTAACATTTCTGTATGTGAATGACTGGTAATGAAATAATAAGTAACGTTGTCATGAGAAACAGGAAATACATCATACATCCTGTAAATCTTGTTTTTACGCTGTTACAGGCTTGTTTTTCTAATAAAGGAAATTCAATATATTTGATTAATTTAGAAACTTGCATAAACATTATTTATAATTACTGTGTTTCCTTATTTACGTATCTGAAGTATATTTGTTAGACAGACAATTTAACTGCATAAATGAAGTTTATCCTAAAGAATTCCAAAGTGCCATTACCCTTCTGCTTCATAGCATGTTGGATATTTTTAACACATTATTTTTTTATAGCATCTTGATTTAATTCTTGTTAAGAAGCGATCTTATGCATTGTGTTACAGAGCAAAGATTTACAGAGAATAACACTGTATTATCAAAGGGAAGCAGAAGAAAGCGGGTCCTAATGGCATCTGGAATCGGTACAAATGTCAGTGTGGTACCTGGAGATCCACTAAGAATAGGTATGTTTTCTCTTCTGCTTTGTCACTTAAATTATATTATTTATTAATTTCATTAAAATGGAGAGGGCCCCACAGAGAAAGTGAGTGTAATTCCCAACAGTCTGGGTTTGATGACCTTCTGGATTTCTGAACTTTATCATAGCTTTCTTTTATTAGGGAGGGAACCTCAGAGTAAGAGACACAATTGTTTTTTGATTCAGCTTTACAAAAAATGTTTTAAAATGGCGACTATCTAAGAGGCTTACCATGAGACTGAAGCTGTGTAATTTCTCTTTGATTTTCACTTGAAAATGATGGGAGGGGATTCAGCTGGACTGTAGAACTAATTTTTATTTTCTGTCTAAATAAATACCTCTGTTTCCATCCCAGCTTGTGCCTGTGGAGTGAAAATGCAGCAATTTCATTTAAAGTTTTTATGACTCCTTTCCAAAACAGACAGAAACTCTTTCATTACAAACCTATTTGCATATTGTAGAGTCTGGGATTAAATCTTTGTTCCATTTAAGTAATCGTTTCTCCCACCCCCTGCATTCACATAGAAGTTATGTTTGTAAGAAAAAAGGGAAACTATAAAGAGCTATGCTAAGTACCCATCGGCTTACGCAGCTGGTAACCCTCAAGGGGCAGTCAGGATTTTGGGGCATAGCTTGGACTTAGTGAATTTATTCATACTCTTGTTTTTATTTAGACTAGGGAAGTCTCTAATGTAGAATCATACGTACTTATTCACAATCATTGCGATATGTTTAGAAAAACCTCTAAAATGCTGTTGATTTTTAGGCTGCCCGGTGCTGCCTGGCTACAGAAATACAGTTCGCTGGCTTTTCGGAGGTAGTCCAATTGAGGAAGTTAAGACCTTGGAATACCGAGCCCTGGTTGGGGGTAATATCCTAGAGGTGAACACCAACTCTGGCCAATTTGCTGGACAATTCCAATGTTGGACCTCAGCTACTGCAAAACCAATGTCAGTTTGGGTAAATGTCAAGAAGGAAGGTTTGTTGAAAATTATATGACAAATTCTTAAATATTAAAATATTTTCTTTCACTCTGTAAAGACTTTCCTGAAACCTAACCTGCTTTTATGCATAGGAAGCAATTCATAAATACATGTTTAATTTCACATATTTGAGGAGTCTCGTTTAAGTTAATAGACAATGTCCATACTCAGAGTTGGAAATAGGAATTAATGTGTATCCAAATGTCATGTGGAGGTTCTTAATTCTTACCCGTGTAGCTGAGAAGCTGAATGTCACCTGATTCAGTGGGTTGTTGCTTACACAGTTTTAAATCAGGCAGGTTTTCTCAACTTCTACTTCAACAAATCGTAGAAGTTATTGCCAGAATAGCCCACAAAGCTGGAACAAAACTGACTTTGAGGTCATCTTTGGAAATACCTTAAGTATAATCAAAATAATTTTAATATAATTGTCATATTCTGGCACCATTACAGTGATATGGTAGCCATCTTATTGTAGTCACCCTTAAACATATCAGCGTAGTAGGGCACACTCATGAATTTCAATGTTGAGTTTTCAAGAAAGTTTTGTAATGTTCTCCAATGTAATGTGCTTGCACAAAACTGTATTTCCATTAACAGGTTGTAAATTATGCAACTGAGGACAATAAATGAATTTGACAAGGATCTAACATATGCACCAGCAAGACAATAGGCTGTATCTGCAAATGTTATTATAAAGTTTGTAAATATTTAAAGTGCTTGGGAAATTAATTACGTTATAATTGGGCTTTAAAAAAAGAGAGTTAAGAACTTACATCCTACTAAGAGTCTGGCAGCAAAGCATCAAACTTCATTTGACAGTTTAAAAAAAAATAAGAATCTCTAAACAGTTGATACCCAGAAAATGCAAATCAGGTTTAAAAAGAAATATCTGTTGAAATTTAAAGTTTTTGTATGTGATTTATCTATTATCCTATCACTATGATTTGGCTTACTGTTTATGTGCAATGGACTCAAGCTGTAAAATCAAATCTTGCAAATCCACTATGCTGTGTGTAAGTGCCTTCTGAGCGACTGCCAGTGGATTACTTTTATGGGTGAGAACAGTTCTGGGCTGCATGGGGTTGCGCAGTCAGTTACATCTACAAAGTAATTTTGCTGAAACAAGTATATAATCAAAATGTTTGTTTTTTTTAAATCAAAAGTTATTCAAAATATTAATGAACTGAATCAGGAAATATCCTAATAATGTTTATTAAAAAAAATATATCCAGGCCTTGGTTCTGATATAGATCTCATTAAAGTTAGAACTTCTGAACAGCTTTAGCCAGGTATTGAACTATCCATCCGTAGTCTTTAGCTAGACTGCCTTTTGGTTGCCCAATATCCTTTCCAGTCAGACTGGTCAGTGTTCTGGGGAGATTCTGTTTTCTAGCTGTGAGCTTTATCTCTGATTGTTACTTATGTAAATGTTTCATCACTGAAACACGCACGCATTTGTAAAGACTGCAAAAACTCCTGTGGTGGTTTTTGCACAGTAGGCGTATTGAGGGCACTTCTGAGCAGTATCATCCTAGCTAAATAAACAATACAGTCTCTCCATCATAGTTGCAGTCAGTAAATTTAACTATTTCTACTTTGAAAAAGGCCTTTTTGTATTATTATAAGAAACCCAGAAGTAATAAGAAAACATTGAAAAACAATAAGTTAAAGAATTCATTATGTGCTGGAAGAGTGAGCCTGTGGACACAGCTGGTAGCTATCAATTATTCTTGGTTATTACAGAAAAATCTGACTCCTTCTGTGATCACATAAAAATCTGTCAACATTGCATAGTACTTCATCTTGTCAAAAAAAAAAAATTGTGGAGGAAGGAGTAAGTGTGGAATTGTGGCTAAATATAAAGGTAGTAATTGTTAGAGGCGATCAGTTTTTAATATAAAATACTCTTTAAAACAAATTCCTTTTTCATCTTGCCAGATGCCTCAGTGGCAAATTATTTATGCATTAGATACTTTTCTATAGTTCAGTCAGGATTCTCTTAAATCCTGAAATTATGTGAAGTGTCTGGAGAAAGATGAGTTTTCAGAATAAAATCACTGTAGAACAGCAGGAAACCCAGAGAGCCTGATTTACAGTTTCCTCTTTTTAATGCTCATTGTATAAAAATGTTATGAAAGTTTTAAAAGAAGTTCATCAGTTCCTACTGTGAGCCAGGTTCTGCCCTTCATGTGCACATATGCTGATCCCATTTGCCTTCTGGAGAACTTCATGCTCATATGTAAGGGCTGAACTTGAAGGGAAGCTGAGTAGGACTGAACTCTGCTTTGGCTTATGGTCTCTTTCCACAACGCTGCAATATTTGCTGTTCTGCAGAGGATGCAGTATCTATCCAGCTTACAGAATATGCTGCCAAATCAATTAAAATGTGACACAGTTACAGAATAGTGCCCTTCTCACTCTACTTTCAATTGTATATCTTAGATTATAAATGGGAGTATGCAGAGTGGAGTACTTGCTCTGCTAGCTGTGGGAATTCAGGAAGCCGCTCCAGAAGACTACAGTGCATGAGTGCAGAGAAACAGAAAGTAAATGAATCGCTATGCGGAGAGCTGCAGAAGCCGGTGGTTATTTACCAGTCATGCAACACAGACGACTGCCCTGCCGGGTAAACTCCGTTCTACTCTATTTCCATGTGCTCTATGTGTGTTAAAATGCACTCACAACCTCCTGAAATTTTCTGTGCTTATACTCTGAGTCTGAAATGTGGGGTTTATTTCATCATGAACCCTAAAGCATGAGAGATGTGGAAATGGATCACAAGTGAGTAGGTGAAATGCTTGATTCAGCTGAATAAATGACATCTGTACAAGTCTCTGCTGCTGCAGCAAGTCCTGCTCCTACCACACTAACACCTTGGAAGAACAGCTGGAGCTCTCTCTGGGACACTAGTGCTAGTTTTGTAGAATCTATGCCAATGCCCTGAGAGAAAACTTGTTACATTTAGAGCAGCCAGGATACTCCCGAGTGGAATCTGTGCTCACCTCCTCTCCTTCCGTGCCAGCAGAGCTCTGAGTAGGATGTTTACTGTGGAATGGCTCATTTGTCTCTAATGCCCCCTCACCACAGTGTCACGCTCCTTGCCTGTGCTTCCCTGCCAATTTTCTTGATGGATCAACTGGGGTAGCTTGTGATCTTGGGCAGCAAATCCTTATATCACAGGCAAGTAGACTACAACATCTGATTCCAAAAGCCAAAACCTTACCTTTAGACTTCCTGAGTTTCACTGGAGCATTCCAGCTCAACAAGGCATTGCTTTATGTTTTTAGCAGGAAATCCCACAGGCATCCTGAAAACAAGCACTTTCCATTGCTTAAAGGAATTGGCCATCGCTGTCAGCAATGCGAAAATCCATGAGGGATGAAAAGTCATGCACATATTTTGGAGTTGTCCCTCACTGGAAAATGTTCTGAGAGGAATGTTAAGACCTTAACTGACATTGTAGGAGTGCATCTTGCCAGTATGTTCTAAACTCTGTTCTAAATACAGAAGACATAGCAACAGATAAATATCGGGGGAAATTTGTTTATATTTCATTATTAGCAGCCAAAAACCCAGATCATCTTAAATTGTGAGTCTGAACTCCAGCCAGCCCATAACAAGCAAGCTTTTTGCCAGTGGAAAAATACCGAAATAGAACTAATAGTTTGAAACACGCAGTCAGTTGCAGGTTTCCCTCTTCAAATGCAGCCATTCAGACCAGATGACAGTTAGGATGATACTAGAGGGACCAGTGCTCCCCTGAGCAAGATCGTGCCTTTTCAGTGGGTTGCGGTGCGTGACTTAACAATCCGAGTATCACTGCACCCAGAATATTCACCACAAAAACCAAAGTTATTTCATATGGCTAAACAGACTGGGACCTACGTTCTCTCTTATTGAAATGCTTGGATTTATTTTGCTTTTAGTTTGTCTTTATGTATTTACCAGTGGCAGGGAATTGTGCATATACTAACAAAATTAACTCTACCTTGAATTATGCATGCATGCTAACATACAAATTGTTTTTCTTTATTAAGTATTCCATGCTTCTTATATAGGATGAGCATCCTAGATGCCTGGAAAATAGCCCTGTGTCTGGTTCCTAGTGCCTCCAATCTCTCCTCCTTCCCTGTGATTACTGACCTGGGAGGGAAGTACAAAATGTTCAGACTTCACATTCCATTTCCCCACTTACTGATTTCTGCACGATCTTCTCATCCCAAGGCAACGCTTTAGAAAGTATCCATAGAATTATAAAGGCTTTAGATGTACAGTCAGTGTCATGGACCCCTATTATTCCAAGTGTTTATCATGGGTTTAATTACTTCTCTCTAGCACAGCATAGAAGCACAGTTAAGTAAATATATGGGTTTAAGCACGTACTTAACTTGTGCTTTGAAGTGTTTGATGAATTTGGGCCTTGCTGACTTGGTGTGCATGCATTGCACCAAATGTCTGCAGAAGCACTTGAGCTTTGGAAGGGAGAAAAAGACAAGAATCCAGACTGTAAAAGATTTATCTTCCTTGAATGGATATAAACTGTTTGACTGTAAGAAAATCAAATAATTGCTAAAGGAAATAAAATATTTTTCCTGTTATCACAGTTGTGCTACACATAAAGTCCCATTCTGTGTTTCTACCATGGATTTATGAAAAGATCAAGTCAAATAAATTGTATTACCACTTGCTGCTTCCCCAGTACTGTTCATAGCTGCCAAGACAGACTAAATCTTTGCAACTTGTAATCAATAAATAACATGTTCATTTTGAGCCATTATCTAGCAAGATCCTGATGTCATAAATTTGGATGAGTTATGACACCTGTCACCTTAGTAGTAACTAAATCAGTACTGTTCATTTTATAAGTTATGGAAAAGTACACTGTCTTTCCTTCAGAAATGTTAAATCCAGCAGGGTCTATAGGGTTTACCTAATATAACCTTTGGGATAACAAGCAATGTAACTTCTGCTAGCATATATTGACCACAGTGATATTAGAAGTCATCGGCTAACCAAATTTGTAAGATCTGGCTTAACAACTGAAAAAGCTGATTCTACGTTTTGTCACGTCTAAAACTTGCAGTGACAGGTTATTTTGGTTTTTATTTGCAAACAGATAGCTGCAAACTTCCAGCAAGTTTGCAGTGCTTTCGTAGTTGCTATAAATCTGTCTCTGTGTCCTGTAGGTGGGTAAATAGTCCGTGGTCCGAGTGCTCTGCATCTTGTGGCAATGGATTTCGGTATCGACAGATAACTTGTCAACAAGTAAAAGGCAATGGCAGCGTGCTGACACTGCTGCCCGGTGCTTGTGTACACGGAGATCGTCCTGCGGGAAGGAAACCCTGTGTGGGTCATTTGTGTGCAGGGGGGACAAAAGGACAGGTAAGTTACAGTTTGTCTGGAAACTCCTTGTGTTACAAAAGTGTATCAGTGTCATCATACCATTGGCTGAACAACTGTTCTCTTGCACAAAGGAAGAGCTCTGTGGCACTAATTTTAAGTACCTTTTAGACCAGTGAATTTATTTCAGACCAGTGCTTTTTTCTCTTTTGTGTTGTCTGAGCTACTTTTATTTGTTGACGCTGCGATCTGAAACTTGAGTATTAGTTTCAGTATATATCCATTACTACTTATTCAGTTTTTTAAGCTGGCATATTGCTTTTATTGCAATCTTGTAGGAACACAGTTTGCATAGCTCTACTTGTGACATCCCCAATGAGAGATATATGAATGTGCTTCAAAAGCTGTTGCCACAACATTTAATACACAGAACTCTGCTTTCTTGTATTTTCTATGTTTCTTCATTTGTGCAGTAAACTTGTGTTCATACTGATATGATTTTTATAATTATTGATACAGTATTTACTATTCAATGAGCAAAATAATGAATTAAGAGAATTACTGTTGCCGAATTCCTGATGTAGGTATTAGCAAGGCAAGTTCGTGATTGTCAGAGCTACAGAACGACAGTTGTAGCACTAGAGATGAGAAATGATGAGAGCATAGACAATGGATTTAGCTTTATGAATAGGTAGGAAAGTCAGTATCTTGGCAAAATTGCACACAGAGAATCCAAAATATCTAGGGTTTAACCAAACTGAAATGTGATAGGTTTGGAGAAGAAGAAATACGTATCAAGAATTATGACTGGATTGTGTAACTGGGCAACTGCCTAGAAGGGTGATTCTGTTGTTATTAACTTGTTTTTTTCTTTTTCTTTCCCTTCACCCTTTTCTGTTGTTTTTTAGTGTCCTGGTCGCTGTGTAGGCCGCCCTGTAGGTTTGCAGCACCGTCAGTTTATATGTCAACTTCGTAATGGATCTCTGGTGCCAAACTCTTCTTGTGATGAAAGAAAGAGGTATACAGTTTGAAGCAGTACAAGTTAGATTCTTTAGATGACTAAAAAGATACAGTATTGTCAATGCCATATAAATATGCAAATTCTTATGTATCAAACACAAGTCATCGCTTTGTATACACTGGATGAATTCAGGAACCCAAGGAAGGTAATGGATTTGATCAGTGTCCTTCACTGCCCTAATGACAAAGCTAGAAATAGAATGAGAGAATCTTGCTTCCCAAGAAGAAAGTAGAAATTGGAGTAATTTGCTATAACTTTTTTTATTACTGCTGAACTGGGTCTCTTCTGGTATTGCTTTTTATTCTGGTCTACTGCTGCCCAAATTTTATAAAATAAGAGTTTTCCTGGGCCTTATATTGTGGACCATGTAAATTGGTTTACTATTTTCTGATTACTGAAATAAGGTGTACTTCTCAGCTCAGCATAAATAAATCTCATTCTGCCTCTTAATATATACTGTTGAGGTATGTATGAGTATGTAAAATGGAATGGTTGAGGAGGTGTGACTTTTTCTTTCAAGGTACGCATTCTTTGTAAGAATCCTGTTAGTTTTACTGTCTTTCAACAACTCCTTTCAATATGAAATGTACAGGCTATACTCCTCCACACAATCTTAATCAGCAGATTTGCTTGGGACTATGCCATAGCACATGGATGGCTGACAGTCTCTATACACCATAATCTTAAAAAGGCTGAATTAAAGACAAATTAAAACTGAAGGTGAGGGTCTAGGGACACAAAACTTTGTTCAGACCAAACGTGTAGGTAGGACAATGAAGAGCAGGGAGTGAATGGGTAACAAGTACATATATGGGAAATGTCACCGTGTTTCTTGATTACTGAATCCAACTCTTCCTATTTCTTGCTATAGAAATGCTTCTCAATTGTGAGCATTTTCAAGCATTTTTGCTGCACCAACAATGACATTTTGGCTCCACTGAAGTACATGGTGAAACTTCCATTTCCTACTAGAGCCAGGATTTCACTTTGGCAGCTTCAAATGTTTGAGGATGTTCCATGTCATCATAGAAATATTACTTGTGTTCAGGAGAGAGATATGCACGGAGTACTTGCAGCATCCAGTACGCAACATTTCAGAATCTGTTAAGTTTTCCTAAAGCTAAAACATTTTTTCTATTCTAGAATTAAGGAATTGGTTTAAAGAAACAGAGCCTTGTCTTTTGTATCCTCATGAGTGAGGCATAATGAATGGGCACAAAATGAAATTCAGGAAATTCAACTTAAATACAAGGAAAAACTTTTTTTACTCTGAGGGTTCTCAAACACTAGAACAGGTTACCCAGAAAGGTTGTGGAGTCTCCATCCTTGGAGAGATTCAAAAGACAAACAGAGATGGTCTTGAGCAACCTGGTCTAGTTTAGTGTGCTATGATCAGGACACATGGGCTAATCAGTCTCCAGAAGTCCCTTCCAACATCAGTCCTATAATTCTGTAAATCAGGCTTTAGCACAAAAGTAAACATTTAACTGCCATTTATTTTCCTCCACAGGTCTCCTGTCAGAAGAAACTGTTCTTCAGAGGCATGTGATGTCTATTGGTGGACAGGCCCTTGGAGGCCCTGCAGTGTGGAGTGTGGCAGCGGATTTCAGTCAAGACGAGTGTACTGTGTACACGGAAAGAATAACAAACCTGTGGCTGATCAGTATTGTGCATGGAGGAAGAGACCAGTGACCTGGCAACACTGCAATGTCACATCCTGTGGCAGTATGTAAATGTTTATTTATATGTGAGCATAGTAATAGTTTATAGCAGTTATGTTAGAAAGTGACTCACAGTTGTACACTAATGATTCTACAAGCATTTGATTGTATATCAAAGGTAAAACTATCCTCTCCAAGGAGCACTTCGTAATCCTGGGGTTATTTTTCTCTATGAGTGGGCCAGTTTGATATTAAAGCCTCAAAAGAACTTTTAGAAACAGGATATTTAGGAAGTTGTTTTATGCAAACTTCCCTACATGACTCTGCCGGTTGTGACTGTTAATTCCTTAAAGATAGAGTAGTTTTCTGAGAGACACAATAGGTACATGAAGGCAGGGAGGTCACACCTCTTATTTGTGACCTAGTTTAGCTTTGAATCCACTGCTGCCAGAAATGCAAAGTAAAAGCTACCAGGAATCCATCAGTTGTTTACAATTATGATGATAAGTTCTACTATTTATCTTTTGTCCATTATAAAGATTTTTAATGTTTAAATATATTTTTCAGCAGGCGAATGCAAGGATACAACTCACTACTGTACATTTGTAAAGCAACTTAAGTTATGCTTGATAGACATCTACAAACAAAGATGTTGTCAGTCATGTCAAGAAATTTAATTCTTCTATGGAAAGTTCATGATGCTGCAGTGAAGAGATGAGAAGAGAGGTTCATTAAACTAGCCTGCTCAAAGTATATACTTGTAAATAAGACCTCAGTCGTAACAGTTAAATGGAAACATGGGGCTAATGAAAAAACAGGATCGCAGACTGATATGTTGGACAGGGTGTTTCTTCTGGGAGCTTTTATTATCTACTCTTTGCAATGGAACTTTAATGTTTTAAACATTCTTATGTCTGAATTAGGAAGATAATATCATGGCATATGATCTGTAAAATTTTACAGGCCATAACATTATAATTTTATCGGGGAAAAAGCATATTATCTAAAAGCACCAGGTAGTGCTTACTGTCCTTAATTTATGAGAAAAACAAAGTCACAAATCCTTTGAAGAATTTCAGAATGCAGCAACTATTGACCCCTAGGTTTTGTTTTTATTGTTTTATCAAATGTAATACCATTTTAAAATTTATAGAAGCTGTGGCTTGTAGCTATAAAATTTTTGGCAGTGACTTCATTTTCATAAACAGCTTGAGCTTAAGGGTGGATCTCACAGGATGCATTTTACTGATATTAGCTGTCAGATAGATACACAGAAGTACATTTCATTTTTCATGCTTTTATTTATGTGTATGCAGTAAAAGATATTGTAGATGCTAGTACAATTTTCAAAACAGCAACAGATCTGTTTTGAATAAATGAGGTGTCATTTTCCATTGCTTCTGTTCTGATTCAGCCACTGAACCACAATCGAAGCTCTGGTATGATTAGATTTTTCTACTGATTTTAAATTAGACATAAGGCTTCCTTGTCAGAGCTTTGAATGAAACATTTGTGAGCACTGTTCTCTTTCATATCAAGTCAAATGGGGAGTCAACAACTGACCAAACTCAGCTGTCAGATTTTCTGTCTTGAATAAATATTTCCCCCCCTCCCCCCCAACCCATTAATGGGGAAAAATGTCCAAGGAAGAAATATTAATTATGAAGTTACATTAGACAAGTGCAAGAAATGTATTTTGAGATGTTTTCCATCAAGATGACTTTTCATCATGACCATTAACCATTTGAGTCTTTTGCAAATTGATAAATTCTCATTATGATATTCTTGAGTAAATTATTTTCCATATTGCAATTTATGTTTCATTAGGGCTGTAAGCAGAGAGAATCCCACAGGAGGCAGCAGACAGTTTTCGTTTTTTTCTTTTGTGGTTTCCAACTATTGCACATGTTGGAGGTCTGAATGCTTGTATTGACTCGGACCTTGTTACATTACTGAACTCCATTACATGCTAATTAGTGGGTATGCTGGGCAGAAACAGCATTCCTGGACAATGGGTTTGCATCACTGAAAATTAGATTAGCACTACTGTATAGAAAATGTTTAATGTGGACTATTGTGTCCAAGGCTGACTGCAAGGAGAGGATATTCCTGATCATTACCTTTTTAATCAGCAATGGGTCTTGATTGTTTAAGCAGTTTTTTAAATTAAAAGAAAACATTTGTAAGATACTTTTGTAGATATTTATTGTCTGATTTAAAAGTGCAATATTTTGGTTTGTACAGTGTTTAATAAAGATTGTTGGACATATATTTTTTCTTATTACCAAAATTTCTTATTCATGTTTTTCCTTTATATTTAAAGTTGTCAAATGTTAACACATGGCAGTTCTTTATTGCTTTAATTTTGCTTTTGGTTAAGTATGCATGATATACAGAAGCAGTGCTGTAAATGTTTGTTATTGCAATTGGCATGACATTCCTCTGTAGATTATTTTATCTCTTCTCCAGTAACTGAAGATGTCTAATATTTACCTTTCTTGAACGTAGTTTTGATACTTCTGAATAAAGTCTAGTTTGATTATTCAACACTGTCATTACCCAGAGGTCGTTTATTACCATGATTTTCATGGTAGCTATGCTTTCATTCTAAGTGTTATTTTATCAACCTACTATATCCACAATTCTGGGATTATTTCAAAGCTAAGATTAGTTCTTGGTTTTGATAGCTGATCAGACAGATTCTCAGCTTTGTTGCAGTCCGCTTTGCACTGCTAGTATGAGGCAACATAGATGTAACTTGAATGAAAAAGTGGGGAAGAAAATTTGCCAAAACACAAATAAGTCAGCTCTGACTCTTTGACATCTGGAATCAGGATTCTGCAAAAAGGTGGAATAAAATTACATTTCCTGGCCAGGCCTTCACGTACTGCACCAAGCAGAGTTCATTTAGACCCAACAGAACAGCTCCGTGTTTTATATTTTGTGGGCGATGGCAATAGCTATGTGAAAAAAACCCAACTTGTTTCAGAATATCCAGTATGTATAGTAGTCTTTAGAAAGGGCAGTTTCATAAATAATATGAATAAGAAAATCCTTAAAAAAAATACTAAATTGAAAATAAATGTTTAGCAATGAAATGGTGGTATTTCAGAGTTATCATAGATGGTAACATTGGCAAAGGTGCATGGATCTATTCAATTCTCCTTTTGTGTCACAAATGCATTCTTTCTGTGCTGTCTTTAAAAAAAAAAAAAACAAAAACCGAAAAAACACCACCAAGATTTTGTACAGCAGTTCAGTGGAGCATGCTGTATAGCATAGCACATGAAAAGCACTTTTAGAATAGCAATTGAATCCATGAGTAACTTTTCTGCTTTTACATCTTGGTTTAGCATGACATCATAAAATGGTGGTTTTAACAGCTGTTATTTTGAGAAATATTAGTTATCCAGCCTGCTGTTCATTTTGTCTGCTTTTCAATATGTTGCTTATGAAAAAATTGACCTGAAGTATTGAATATTGTCTGAAGGTTTATAGTATCTTTTGATGCTTTTCCTGGAAGCACAAGCAGTAGGGTGTGGCTCTTTTAACTGTAATGTAATAAAGGCTTCTCTCTTTCACTGTTAAACTTAAGGGAAAACATTCAGGGCAAAATGGAAGGGAATATGGCCCCTCCACCCTAAAAAGGTCTTCAAACACATCTGCAGAGGAATGGTTAAATGTATCTGATTATGCCCTCCACTTCCTCTCAAAAAATTTTGTACTATGCTGGTAGGTGGCAGTAAATGACTTTCTATAACTAAGGGGAAAAGAGTGACTTAAAAACTAAAAAAACAGCTGTGAAAATTACAAAAAGCATCTGGGTTCAAGGACAGACCCAGAAGAGGAACCATTTTGGGCAGAAGACGCAGGCACACATAACATCATGGATTCAGATTGCATTTCTCAATGAGTTTTCTTCCCAGAAAAGAGAGCTGGAGGATATTAGGAACTTCTGTAAACTTCTCAAGAGGTAACAAGATTGTGTATAGCATATGGACTTGGGTAGCTGTAACTGTGCGAGGTTTTGACTTTGTTTCCTCGGTTGTGGCTAGAGAGTGACTCAAGTTTCATAAATGAAAGGGTGTTTGTAGTTTGTTTTCTTCTGTAAACAATGAATTGGACCTTTTCCTGTCCTGCTTGTAGGATATAGAATCATAGAATCATAGAATGGTTAGGATTGGAAGGGACCTCAAAGATCATCTAGTTCCACAGCTTTACATTGCTTGTGCTCATGTCCAATCCAAAACATGTCTTTACCAGCTGAGGATGTGAATAATCTTCAGAGAGAAAAGTTTTAATTGAATTGTTTTTTCATTATATTACAAAAACACAGTACAAAGACAAAAATTACCTAAAAGCAATTGATGCTGTAATAATGTCTGGAGCTCTTTCATGCAATGCTTTCATGCACAGCTAATATACTTGTTCAGCTTTCTTCCTTGCCGTATGCTCCAGTTCCTGCTTTCAACGTGTTTCCATCACTAATCTTGGACCTTTTATTGGTGATTTGGCTTATGAAGTATAAGCACATAATTCTTCAGAACCCAAATGACTGCCCGATACCAATGCGTACAAGATATGCAATGGTGAAAAGAAATAGTACTGCAGTACTGTGATAGAACATGATAATACTTTTAATCATAAAACTATTTATGGAGACCTGCTTAAATCATCAATAAGACCGAAATCAGTTCATCTAGATTTCTGAAAATCAGGTAAAGTTACATACAGAAAATACTAAATATCTTATACAGAAGCATAATCTTTGCATGTACAATTTCTGTAAAAAATTTGTGTATTTGTAACAAGTAATTCTTTGAAAAGCAGACTGACTGAAGCCAGGCTGCCTAGAGATTTCTGCATCTCGGTTGATATTTCTTTTAACTGGGTTTACACTATTTTCTGTTATCTCTACAAACACATTTATAGGTTTTTTTTGCCATTTTCCCCTTCAGGCTGCCTCTGCAGTGAACTTTGGCAGTGATAACAGGCTGTTTAGCTTTAAAAATGTGATAGCAGGATCAAAACCTGCAGTGGATACATGTTAAATTTTGAGCCTGATTCTCTCTGCTTCCTCATCATTTACCTCAGAAACTCGAAAAACAATCATCTGTGAAATCTCTTTGTGAAATTTGATTAAATTTGCACACTGGATTTAACAATTACTCAGATGGGGAGGACACACACTTACTGTGTCAGTGTCGAAAGCTTTGCATCAGCTTTGTTTTCTTTGGAAGTAAGGCTGAAAAAGCACCATCAGGGAAATTAGGAAACAGTCTCTACTGACCTGATTTTTATGTCTGAGTGATTTTAAGTATGTGTGCAGAAAAAGAGCAAGGTCACTTCTTGTTAATTGCTATGAGAAATCATAGTGAAAAAATCTTATCAGATTACTCAAAGCATTGATAAAATTAAACACTGAACTGATGAGCTAATTATTTAGATTATTATAGCATTATTTGTTTAATATGAAAAAGAACGTACGATCAAAAGATGCTTGCATTTTGCACATACAATCACTTAATTTGCAGAAAATCTGAAAGAATTAAATGTACAGTACATGTGCTTGAGATGGAGCATAATGAAATCTGCATAATCAGAAAAAGAATAGAAGCATTATTTGTACGAAAATTGGCAAATCTTTATTAGTCTTGTAATAAACGTCTGGTTTTGCTTTGATTTTCTTCAAGCTATTTAAATGCTTTTAAAATCAGAATTTGCATTATTTAATTTGCTTTCCGTGTTATTTGAAGAAAAAATGAAGTAGTAGAATTCCATTTCACCAGGGTGCTTGAAATACTGCATTGAAGTATTACGACACAACAGCTACTTCCTTTGGAATGGGATTACTGTTTGACTCAGAAAATTCTGGAGTAAGCTGGTGGAAGAATTTGTGACCATGAGAATCTGTGTTTACATAGACATAACCTGGAGGAGATGGATAATTTGCTGGGCAGATCTCTTGTTTCTTTGGTGTGTATTCTGTGCGATACATAGTTCCATCTTGAAAAGGTGCTGAATTAGGAATAGCATGAACAGGTTTGAAACTTTGCACTGGAGTGATCTGATGTGGGACATAATGAGATTTGAACGTAGTTAAATCATAAAATTTTCCTGTGGGTTTTGGAATTTCCTCTTGTTTCTTAATAATCTCTTGCCGACAGGTGCCCCAAGCTTTAAAGTCTTCCTTTGTAGTAGTATTCCCTTGAAAAGGAGCATTGATTCTTCTTCCATTCGAAACTGGTCTTATGGGAACAGCAGGAAGAATGTCATGCTTAACATAATCAAGATGGCTTGTGGAGTTAAAATCCATGTTGCCTGGGGGTGGAACGTACTCTTTCATTTTGCGGACCTCAGGCAAGGAGACCAACCATGGCTGAAAACGATCCTGGAATTCAGTGACTCCATTAAAATGAACATTGGATCCGACTTTTGCATATTCAGGCTTGCAGCTTTTTGCCAGTTGCCCAGGTAGCCCTTTAAAATCATTCCGGTGGGTTGTGAGATCTTCAAAGGGTTGGCTGCTTGGCTTGTACTCTTCTTTTGATCTTACGAATTTGGGTTCCAGTTGATGAGCAATATAAGAAGAGCGATGGCTTGTAGTACTATCAAAAGGCACATCTGAAAGCTTGGCTACACAAGGAGGTTTGAAACTTTGTCTGGGATTCAGTTCCCGAGGAACAAAGTCATCTTGAAACGTAGTAGAATTTCCAAACTTCGTGGTGGGTGGGTGGTATGTATGCTCCACCTTACTAGTTTCCCTTCTTTGAACTTCCCATGACCTATAGTCGTCTTTAAGGCAAAAACAAAACTTCACCATACAAGCGTTATTACTTAAGACCATTCCTTTAAAATCAAGCTAAATTCTTCTGGTATTAAATTTTGCAAAACAAAGGAAATGGATGTGAGAATGATAATGTTATCTGCATGTTTGTGATATGACAAAACTGTCTTCTATTATTGCTGTGGTAAAAACAGACAGAAAAATTGTACCTTATTTTGATTATTTTCTCAATGAAAAAGAAACTGTTGCATGTACATATTTCATATTTACTGTGTTCTATACAGAAAATTGTCATATACAGGTTTTATATACAATATCTTACATTTTAGAAGTTTATGCAAATACACAAGACTGAAAGCAACCTCATAGGTCCATGGGTTATGTTCACTCCTGATTGGGAGAATTCTCTCATAATTTCCATATCAGCATCACATCATCTTAAAGCTTGTTGGGATTTTTTTTTTTCTTTGCTTCTATGGTTTTTTACTAGCAGACTGTTCTGCTACAGTTACAAATCTTACTGTCTAGTCTAAACATCTTCATGGGCAGTTGAAATCAATTTGTTGTCTTGCAATCACTGTACTTATTTCAGCGTCAGTGTTTTTTCACCCAAAGGTCCTTCCTCCCTCTTTAACTGCTAACACACGTTTTAAACGAAGCAGTTGCGTGCTGTCTTAGCTGTATGCTGAGACTAGGCTCAATTATTCATATTTGCTAGCTTACTACTTATATGTAGGCTAAATAGAAATAGTTAAATTTTGTTATAAATTATTTACAATTAATAAATAGAAATAGAATGTATTTATATAAATGCATTTCTCTCCAGCATAGGCCTAAGCTTAAAGAAGCTAGCAAAAGATAACCGTGGGGTTTTTTGAAGGGCCTTTTTTCCCAAATTTTATCCTTCCAACTCTTTCTGTCACTGTGCTCTCCAACATGCAGATAACTTCCTCTTTTAATAGCCATATCTGATTCTCATTATTTCAACTATCTTTTCCATATCGCTGGCCCTCATAATCAGGAACATCTAGATTTTCATCACTCTAGTAGATCATATCTCAGAATTTATTTCTACTTACTTTTCACCAGGGCTACAATGCAGTACATGTAACAAATTCAGTAACACATTTTATGTACAAAATTTTCTACTTGTATAAAGTATATCAAGGTCGCTCATCAAAATGACTTGAAAGGAGATTTAGTGACTCAGTGCTGACCATTGTAACAGAATAATTTGTGTCAAAACAGCTCATTATCAGGATGATATGCAAACTCTACAGTACACGAGAGAAATCTGAAATCAACTTTTGACCTACGTTGTGGAAAAACATGTGTTACATGAACTAAAACTATCTAAAAGATATATTGGCACTTTAATTACAACTGACTTTTGCCTGAGATAGCCTAACCAAGTGTATGTTTTAATTTTTCTCCTTCTAGCCAAGAAAACCTTAGAGAAGGCTTTTTGTTCAGAACCAATAAATATCCCCTCTAAAGAACTGTGGTGCTGAACATCTTAAGGCATTCTCACCTGCTTTCTATTATGTCTTACTCTCTGGCCAGACTACGAAATCCAGTTTCTAATATAGACAATTTGGAATACTACCTTCATCTCAGTTATTTCTTTTTCTAAAGGCGGCATATATTATTACCTTGATAGGTTGGTATGGTATCCAATTTTCGTCCTGCAGTGTGTTTTCTCTCTAGAGGTCTTACTAATGTCACTGGTTGTATTTTATGAGCATTATAATCTTTCTGGTATGTGGTTCCCAGTTCTATCTCTCCCGTCTTTGGTTTATATTCTTCCTGTACTCGAAAAGGTCGCTTCACAATATCATATGGTAAATAATCAGATCTGAATTGGGGAAAAAGGAAACATGGGTTAAAAACTTTTTTCTGATGGAGTCACTTTTGTCACTTTTTCATTATATGGAAAAACAACAACTCACAATGTTTACTCTGAAAAATCATTCTGATGCCATATGTTATAGGGATAGCAAGGAGGAAAGAATCATAAATATAAATATCATAAATCTATAGGGTGTCTGATGCATGATATAGCCTTCATTCAAAGGTAGATAGTGAAGCAACTTTTTCAACACTCTGAGTCTCATTCCAAGTTTAAAAATATTCTTTAAAATGTCTGAAAGAAGGCTAGAAAAAGTTGCAGTAATTTTACAATGAAATGATCCAGAAAACAGAAGCAGAGCAAAGATCAAGCTACTACGAGTGGTAGCATTTACTAATTGTATGAGTAGAACGGAATATAATCAGAAACACAATATCACCATTTTTATACAGGCACATTACATTAAAAGAGTATATTACATACAGAGGTGTTTAAACAGTATATGCAGTACACAGTCAATCTTGAAGAGGGCCATTTGGCCTCTCTATGTATGTCCCTTTTGTTTTTTCGTAAACAAATAAAGAAGTTTCACCTGTTGCCCTTATAGCTTAAAAGAAAAAACAATAATGGAAAAAGTAAAGGTTTATGTTCCTGTCATATTATTAATGACGAATGAGTGATGTCTTTTTCTAACTCTTTGAAAGATGCTCTTTAATCTTGTAAGCTTAACATCAGAGTCTGTGCACTGACAGGACAGACCTACTGAACCCCTTTACAGCTGGCTCTCTTCAAACTCCTAATAATTTAGAACTGTCTGTAAAAAAAAAAAAAAAATAAAATCCTTTTTCTTAAGGTTTCATTTTCCCACTATCTCAGCTTCCACACGCATGTTACAGAAAGTTTCCTAGCTTGCCAGCTTTTTCAGACTTGGTGAGACCTAGATTTCCAAAACAGGCTGAAAGTAAGGACAAACATTTTAGATTATCTTTACAGGTTACAGGATGCAGTAAAGAATGCAAATCTTTTTGTACGCGTGCTTCAATATTTTTTTATGACCGTTTTGTGCTAACTGTATTTCTGCACTCAAAATTTATACTTTTAAATACGTTAAAAATGTAAAGAATGCAATGATTGCATTTTGAAAATGATTGCAATAAAACATTCAGTCCCCCCTTCAATGAGAAAGTATGAGAAACTTTATAGAGTCATTGTAAAAGATAGTGCTTCAAAGTGTTTACTTGAAAGTTGTAATTCCTTCCATTTTCCCACGATGCATTTGGTACTCTTGTTTCGGCTTAAGGCTCCGACGAGGAGAGATGTTGCTATACTTGGGATATTTTTCCACATACTCTGTTGTGAGGCATGGCTGTTGTCCATTATCATAAATCCTTGTGGGTTTATGAGGGCAGCGATGGCGCCTGGATAAAACATATCAGATGAGATCATTTTTAATGGTTTCATATAAGGGGAAAACCCATGCCCCAACTTCTTCTGGGAGTCAATAACAACAGGGAAGATTGGACAATGTCAGTAGCTTGTATTTAAAAATCTTTTCTAAGTGATAAAACCACAAAATAACTGTGCTGATGGCATAGGTCCCAGAGCACAGTATACTAATACAGTGATAAAGTATCATTATGCAATTTAGTGCTTATTACAGAACACAAAGGATGGATAGAGTTGATCTCAGACCTCCTAAATGATGCTACCATCATTTTCCTCTCTTTTTTAAATCATTAATGACATTACTAGCCCTACTTGTAAAAACGAGTAACTATGCTTCATTTCTCCTCTTGTATTGTCTCTTTTTTACTGTTTTCCCCTATCGCTTGTCTTTTTATTTCTGTGCATCTACTCATCTATTTTCAGCACAACTCTTGATTAACCCTTTTTGATTAAAATTTTAGTGGTGTGAAATCTCATCTGCACTTCTAGTACGCTGCAGGCCATTTCTGACTTTTACACCTTTTTTTTTCAAGGACTGACTAAATCCTCTATTCAAAAACTATGTTTGTTTAGAAGCAATGATGTCTTTTTTTTGTTAATAGGTTTTATTTCATTTACATCTGCTTATCATTGATGCCTTTTTTAATGACACCATTGTGTTAAAAGGTGTTAAGAGGTATATCATGACCTAATTTATTACTTATACCTTGCTGGTTTGTGTAAATTATGCATGAAATTAAAATGTACATGTAATTTTCTATATTACTTTGAAAATCTTGTTATATTCATTCTAATTTGCATAACACTCCTCTCTGGTAGTTTGTTTCAAGCATAGTTTTAAAATTTTGTTTTGGCTGATGTGATTATTTAACCACTCCTTTAAGGAGATATATAATGAAAGATGCTCCTCCTACTTGTGGCTGACAACTTGCACTACTGGTTCAGACATAATCAAAGGGAAATAACAAGGAATAAAGCATAATTTTTTAAATAAATGAGTCTTGTAAAATTCTGTATATGAAAAGCAAAAATATCTACAGAACAAGAAGGGTAAAAGTGTACAGCTCTCACTGGGTACAAATGAATTCAAGTTTCAGGAAGCTAGATATCCAAGGAATAGTCCAAAGTTCTGCAGAGAAATTTAGGTAGTACTGAATACTAAAAAGGAAAAAAAAAATTAAAGCAAGGTAAAATAGAATACAGAAACAGACATGAAGGACTCCTGCTGGGAAATGTAAAATGAAAAAAAAAAAAGTTATCTGGAACTGGAGATTCCTAAAGCCGCTATTAGTTTGAGCTGCCTGACTTTGCCAGCTCAGTAGTTCAATAAATGAGAAATGAAGTAGCCCTGTCTAAGAAGCCAGATCCTTTCAAAGCCTCAGGTGCTTACTCGTTTTCCATCAAGCCAACGGATAGCCAAGGAACAACTGAGACACCTATTCAGAGTATAGCAGGGAAGGGAAAAAGAAATAAGAGGGAAAGAACAGGAAAGACAGGAAAACAAGGAGGTGAGTATGTGCTATTTCTCAGCACAGTGCTTGCCTACCACTACAGTTTTCACGAAATTTGATCACCACCTTAGTAATGTTTTTTTCAGTAAGTATAAACAGCATATGGTGTGTCATGTAGCATCTAAAAATAACAGCTAAGCAGAAACTAAAACCATTGAATGTATGTTTTGAAAGCTAGTTGAAATATAGAGTATCAAATTATAACGTTCTCCACATATTTTAGGGATACAAGTCAAAGGAATTTGAAACAAACAACATTCATCTACAAAAACTTCATTTGGACAAGCTTCAGTTTCATGGAATCATAGAATGGTTTGGGTTGGAAGGGACCTTAAAGATCACGGAGTTCCAATCCCCCTGCTGTGGGCAGGGATGTCTTCCCCTAGATCAGATTGCTCAAAGCCTCATCCAACCTGGCCTTGAAAACTTCCAGTTTGCCATAAGCTGGTCCAGAAGACCAAACATCAAGCCAAACACATCCTCTGTTCTGGTACCACCAGTCTTTAGAGATTTAACTCTCACTATTTTCTATGGAATATTGTCAGTATATCCTCCATATTGCTGAATGATCATGCTACAAACAGAAATAGATACTAGAAAAATAATTACTTGCAGAGTGAGCCTGTAGTTCTTGGTAGATTCAACAAATAGGTGAAAGTAACCTAATGTGTCTCTCCAAGGAAAGAGTTTTAGTAATTGCATTAGAATTCAGTGCTGAATCAAAAATGTCCTTGATCTCAGTCATTTTTAGCATACGAAATAATTATGAAGAGCTTCTAACTATGCACAAAATTACTTGGATTCAGACAAGAGTGTTCAGGAGATCCTACATTCTACTCTGTGCTGTGAATGAATTTTAGTGGGCCTAAAAGGCAGTGCAAAATTGCCTTGTTTTAAACGTTAGTTTGACCTGGAGAAGAGATCAGGGTTTTTTTGTTAACTGATAAATCTGCTTTTGGATGTTGTCCAACTGCTAAACCAAGAGTTTTCATTTAGATAATAACTTTACAAAACTGATTACGTAGGGCATCGCAGCTCTTTAGGGAGACGATGCTAAGAGTCATCACCCAGAGAGGACGGGTTACAGCTCTGATAAACACGTTACTCACGATTTGACACAAACTCCTCGAGTCATTATTTTCAAATTGTCACCTGCAGTTATCTTAAGTTCCACCCCAGAGTTCTGATAATTCAAATGAATTTGGTGAGAATACGCCTTCCCCCACGACTGACCGATGCCTGCTTTGATAGATTATTCTCTTTCCATTCTTCAAGGGAGGCTAACTATCTTGTGGCTTCATAAGGTCTGAACAGATTCTCAGCTAAACAAAATTGACAGTATATGCTTTGATTCTTTTAACAGAATGATGCTGAATTTCACTTATTTAGAATTTGGCATATATACAGCTGTTTTTTATATAGTGCTAGCAAGACCCCTAAAATTTTCCCACAAAGCATTTTCCTCCCAGAGAAATAGATTAATAATGAGAAAAGTTTAATGTTTATCATCTTAAAAATCTTATTAAAAAACCCCCATGATTAAAAGTTTTTTATTTTTTAACTGCCAGTGCACACGCTGGGGTCTGAAAGACAGAAATTACTTATGGACACTGTATTATTGAGAGTCATCTGCTTTCCTAGTGTTAACGGATCTGGTAGGTTTTATTTGGATTGCGTGTATTTACATGTGGTCAGTATAAAGATTTAAATATGCCGTATTTTAGAGAAATCTTCCTCTTTCCTTTTAACTTACATTTTTTTTCAGGAATCCAGATTTTTATGATCATGATAGCAAAAGTGCAATAAATGGGGAATGGCTGGCAGATTGAGAAGACAAAGCAGTAGTTTATTTTTATATCTCAAAACTAAACTTCTGTGCGTTTGTATTTTGTGATTATCTTTTATAGTAGGCAAATACTCTTATGGAGTGCAGAGTGTTCATCTACCTCAAAGGCTTTATTCTTCCCTTGGAGGCCGTATTTAACAACTGGTATTTGCTGTTAAGACGTTTCAGTCGAGCTAGGGATCTGAAGCCAGACCGCACTTGCTAGCAGGGGGTAATTTTCTCTTGTATTAAGTTAACACAATTGGATCCTACAGGAAATAAGAATATAAAAATATTTCCTCTCTTTATGGATCAATCCCAAATAAGACTAGCTCATACTTATGCACATTAAAAATACACCACTTCTAAAATAAGAAATGGATCTGGAACATCTTACAAAACAATACAGAATCCAGCCATTACTCTACACGATGTAGTTTGGAGAATATTTTTGTGGTTTACTAAAAAAACCCAACAAAACCTCCAACCAAACTTATATCTCTACCACAGCAGCTTGAAAATGATCAACATACCGCCTTAGCAGCACCTTATGCTACTGCAGAAGTTTTAAAGTCTTAAGCTCAAGAGGCTAGAAATTATGTCAGTTATTGAAAATGGAAGAGTCCCCAGCATTGGGCTTATTTTGTAAATTGATCTTTGAGCATGCTCAGCACTAGGTACAATTCCAGTGTTTTTTGCCATTACAATTATTTGTTGATTTTGAAAAAGATCACCTAATAGCCACAGAAAGTGATTTAATCTGATAAGAAGGAATCTATTCAAAATCCTCTTAAAAATGTTGTAACAATTATTTCATTAAGAGCTCAAGGCTGCAACCTCTAAGCATGAACACTAGCACTCAGATGTGAGCCTTTAATGAGTGGATTGTGTCTGTTACAATGCAAAAAAAAAGGTCATGCTGGAATTTTGGAGGCTCTTCTCACTTTCCCTGTAAAGAGAAAGCAGAATAAGGTTCTGTTTTCCTGACTTTCCTCCCCAGTGTTTGAAAATTTTTTCTGTTTTTTTTTTTTTTATTCTATGAACATCTAAGAAAGATTATTTCCTTCTATTTTATTATTTAGAATTGAACAGCAATTATATCTACACAAAATTTCCTGCAAATAGCTAAATGATAACTTCTACAAAATATTGGATCTTTTCCTTTGTTCTGAAATCTCTTCTGAGATTGTGTGTATGCATTGCGATATCCAGGTAACACTGCCAAGCGACCAGTCTTCCCCTAAAACCAGAAACACTAGAGCTACCCTGAAGCAAACACAATGTGCTGCCTAAACCAATAATGGCTTAAGATTTTATTGACTGTAAAAACTTCAGTGATGTTTATTCTAAACCTTAAGTTTTATGCATGTTTTATTCAATTGTTCACATTATTGAACTGGGTTTTTGAATTGACAATTTTCAGTTGAGTCGAATCTCATTTTGTGCTGTCAGATTGTGTTATCTCGCTGTCTTTATATTTTAGCCTAAGCCAGATTTGTTCTCTCATCACGAAAACAATGTGTTCCAACTCTTCATTCATCTAGGACTTCTGAAACAAATTTATGGGGCAAACTACACCCACAAGCCTTGGCCAAAAAGAACATGAGAAGCTTTACACACTGCCTGTCTCTCATCTCTGTCTACAGGTAAAAACCAAAAGTGGCTGACGAACAGACAAACCAACCTCCCACTCAGAAACACATAAGGAGAGTGTCTGCTTTATAAATCTCGAAATGAAACCTGTAGTTCATGGGGCACTTTGCAGTCGCAGGGCTGGCCCTGTTTTTCCAATAGATAGTGATCACACACTTACATTCTTATGATGACTCTCCTAGTACACAGTTGTTAGACTTTTTTTTCTATATTAAAGACTGAATCTTTGAATCCTAGGATGATTATTTTTTATGTTTTTTTTTTTTTTAAGTAGACAAAGAAGAAATTGAACATCTTAACAGCACTGACTCCAAACCTATAAACATACATCTGTATTTTGCACGGTTTAAATCCCTTATGATTTTGGGAAATCTGACTTGTGAATTTTTTTACCTATGGCATTGATAACATTGCTTATAGATCTGTGATGCTAATTTCAAACAAAAAAATTGCCTGCTGTTCCCTCTTATGCCAGCTTCCTTGGGACAGAGAGAAATATTTCTCCGTATTGGATCGTTGAACGTAAAGGAATAGTGGGGCTTCCCTTCACGGGGCAGAGGGACGTGATGTTGGACAGGCAGACATGTTCAATCTGTGCTAAAGGCCTCAGCTCTTGCGCAGGTTTCTGTCAAGGCTGATTTAGCCAGAACTCTTCTGAGGGTCCCTCTCTCCACACGGCGGAGTTGGCTCTGCTTTATGGAAAACCCTGATCCTGAGGTTTGGTTTAGGTGGCTTTGAAAGACTATCTCTATTCTTTTCCCTTTAATTTCATTTAAGATCTGCTTTTTCCCCAGCTTGATTAAAACATAAAAATATTATTTCGCATTTACTGAGAAGATCCCTTTCAGAAAAAAGGGAAGACAGAAAAAGTTGAAATGCGAATTTTACCCAGCTTCTTCTTTCCCGTTGCCGAAAGTATTAGCCCCGACCAGGCACGGGGATCCCGGCGAAACCGGGATGTGCGAGGAGGGGGACAAGACGAGGGGTGTTTCTGCGGGGGTGGCGCTGGGAGGGCGCGGCGTGCCGAGGGGGAGCCCCCGCCATCCTCCGGGGACACCCTCCCGGGGCCCCGAAGTCTCCCCCCGCTCCCCGAAAGCGGCGGCGCCCCGCGGGGCTGCTTACCCGCAGGTGCAGATCTCGCACAGGCACCGAGGCGGCTCCATGCCCG